GGGGGCACTGTGGTGGGCGGGGACTCCGGTGGACACTGCAAGGGGTGGGGCCCAGAACGTCGCGGATTGGGCCTGGGCCGGCAGAGACCGGGCCCTCGGTGGGCGGGGCTTTTGTGGGTGGGCGGGGCTTAGCCCTACGGAGGCAGAGCCTTTGGTGGACGGGGCTGCGCTGGCGGGGCGTGGCCTGGAGAGGCGCGGGCGGGGCTTGTGGGTGGGCGTGGCCCGGGCCGGTGGAAGCGAGGCCTTTGTGGGCAGGGCCTGCTGGGGGCGTGGTCTCGGTGGGCGGGGCAGTGAGGTGCCGGGAGAGGGGCCTGGGGTGGGGCGGCGCGGGCGGCGCGGGCGGCGCGGGGCGGGCGTAACACTCACAGTACAGCGCGGGCAGAGCCATTCACCGTTTGGGATCTCGGGCAGCGGCGGGTTGAGGCAGTGCAGGTGGTAGGAGGAGGGGCACGCGTCGCAGCAGAGCAGTTCACCCCCGTCCTTGCACACGCGGCAGAACTCCATGTGGTCGTCCTCCTCCTCCTCGCAGCCGCCCTCCTCCTCGTCGTCCTCGTCGTCCTTTGGCTCCCACTGGATCCCCTCCTTCTCCTGGAGGGGAGAATCCGGGTGGAGGCACCTCGGGCCGGGCCCCCCTCCAGCACGGTGCGACTCCCTCCCTCCCGCGCGTGCCTCTCCCATTCTACACCTCCCCACTGGCTGCGCGATCCGGGAGCCAGGCACCGGCCGCGCCCCCGCCCCAGAGCCTCTGCCACGGGCTTACACAGTGGGGACAGCTCCACTTGCCCTCGGGAGCCTTCTCCAGCTCTGGATCAAGGCAGACGAGGTGGTAGGCCCGCGGGCAGGTGTCACACAGGATAATCTCCCCGCCCTGCTGGCACACCTCACAGTAGTCCTGGTGGTCCGTCTCGTAGCCATCACCATCGTCAACTGGGGAGGGGGCAGAGGCGGTCGTGGAGGACCTGGTCCCCACTCCCAATGCCCAACCAATCTCCACCCCAGGCTGGACCGGTCCCCGGTAGGTGTTTAATAGGTGTTGGATGAATGGATGGTGGATGGACAGGTGGGGTGAATAAATGTCTGAGGAAAGGCTGAGGGGGTAAAGGGGTGGAGAGAGGGTTGGAAGTAAAAGGGAGGGAGGGAGGAGGATGGGTGGGGGGCTGGGAGGGAGGGGATAATGGGTTAGAGGGTGGATTTTGCAGGAGGTTAAGAAGCAGTTCCTTCTCCTGTGCAAACGCCCCCAGGGGGCCTACACCAAAAGTCCCTAATTTAGCCTCACTGGGACAAGACCCCTCCCCTGACCACAGAGACCAACGGGGTGAGGAAACACAGGTGAACTGCCTGGCCGAGGCCAGGAGAGGCTGAGGCATGAGGATGGCCTCCCCTGCTAACCAAGGGGGGCTCTGCACCCCACCCCTTCTACCAGGACAGCCGTGGAACCCCGGGAAGTCCTACTCCTCTTCTTCTTGCGCCGCCTCTTGCTCTTCTTCCCCAGGGCTGTGGAGCCCTCAGAGCGCATGGAGGAGCTGTGGATGCTGGCGCTGTCGAAGTCTGACTCCTCCCGCTCATCTTCCTCGCTCTGCGGGCGGGGGGGGGGAATGGTGAGTCTAGAGCCCCCCCTGGGGACTCATCCCAAGGGCCTCACTGGCTTGGGCAGAGGATGGGGTAGGGCAGGGCATGGTGGAGGCTCCAGAGGCACGGTGTTCTCTGTGGTTCATCTCATCTCCACCTGGTTAGAAACCCCAAAGGTCCCACCCACCAGTCTAACCTGATGTCCTACCACCTTCCCCAAGCCCTGCTCTCCAGCCCTCAGACACAACCCACATTTCCCATACCTTTCCCCCAGGCCCTGCTCTCCACCCTGCCAAACTCCTACACCTCCCTCAAGGAAAAGCCCTAAACACCTCCTCCAAGGAGCCTTCCCAAATTTCTCCTTAACTGGACCTGTTGCACAGCCTGTGTGCCAGGTCTGGTCTGTCCCATCTGCCTGTCATTAGCTCTCTCCCAGTGTATCTCCCAAACACCCTCCAGACTGTGAACACCTCCGGAGCAGGGCCCACCGTGGCTGAGCCGAGAGCCAAGCACACAAAAATGTGCTCAACAAATATTTGCTGAGCTGAGCTGGAGCACCAGCTCCAGGCTGGGTCACACCTGCTGCTCCGTGCTCCCCTCTGGAGCAGCTAAACTCAAATCCTGTCATTTGCCTCTACCAAGGGACAAAGAAATGGCTTCCAACTCTGCCCCTCTACAGAGATGGGGCAAGGTATGGGAAACAGGTGCCCTGTGGGGATGGGGGAGGGTATGAATGCTCCCCTCTCCATAGAGAAGGGAGTTGCCAAAGGCTCAGATGGGGACTTAGGGTCAGTCTGAACCTGGTGCCAGAGCTGGCCCTGGAAGGGCAAGGGAGGGTCAGAGCTCCAGCCCAGCCTGATCCTGCCTACATGCCACCTTCCTGAGGCCCAGCCTCCAAGGAGACCTGGTCATGCAGGCCCCATCAGGACTCTTAAGGGCCAGCTGACTCTCCCACCTGCTACCCAGATGGAGCAGAGCCAGAACTGAGCCCTCAGTCCAGCAAGGTAGACAGGGGAGCTCCCTGCCCAGAGTCCTGATTCAGGAGAGTGGACTAACAGCCCTGCATTCCAGTCACCCTGCCTTCACATGGCACACACGTTCACACACATGCAGAATGCATCTGAAGGCTGCTCACACACCCATGCACATGGCCAAGTACATGTGGTCTCTCTGTCTCTCACACTCACATATCCCAGTCCACCCTATCACACACTCACACATTTACACACTCACACACTCATGCTCACAGATACATGCATTCCCATTCACACACACTCATGCTCACACACATTCCAGTCCACTCACATTTACATACTCACACTCATGTTCACAAATACACATGCTCCTATTCACACACACTCATGCTCACACACATTCCAGTCCACTCACACATTTATACACTCCTACACTCACGCTCACAAATCCACATTCCCATTCACGCTCACACACATTCCAGTCCACCTTCTCACACACACACACACACACACACACTCACCGAGGAGCCTTTCTTCCTCTTGTTGCTGATCCCTCCAAAGCGGAACTTGAGCCCGGCTACCTTTCTCCCCTTGCCCTTTTTCTTCGCATCCTTGGACCCTTTGATCTTCTTCCTCACTCCTGGCCCTGCAAAGTGACAGTGGATAATCCACACCTGCCGCGGCTCGCTCGCCCAGTGCCATGATTTCAGTCAGCCCCCCAGGGACTACACAAGGGAAGGGTCACTCTGCCACCGCCCCTTTCCAGATGAGAAGGCTGAGGGGTGAGTCCTTGCATAAGAGTGACACAGCAAGCAAGGGGGAGCCAGCAAGTAGCCCCCACTCCGTCTCTGCTCTGGCCACCAGTGCCCTGGTTCCATGAATGGCAGAACTGCCAGCCATCTTGGGGACAGCCCTGTCCTATCCCAACTCCCCCAAAAAGAGCTGTCCCCAATGAAGCCATGGGCCCCGGTGGCCAGCAGGGCCACCAAGGGCACACCCACCCCTCTGTGGTCCAAACGTGGGCCCTGGAGGGCAAGAAGGCCTTTCCCCAGCCGCCAGCCTCCAGGTCATCCCCGGGCCCAGGCAACGCTGGCACCACTCAGGACTGCCCCCGACCTGTGCCCATCACCCACCACAAACACCAGCTCCCAGGTGGCCAGCAGGGTTGAGGCTGTTTTTTTGGAGACAGCCACAGGATAATTAGCCACCTGGGGAGAAATGACCCCTCAGCAGCCTCTCCCACCGGGCTGAGCAGGGAAGATGGGGCCCTGGTGGCACGTGGCCTTGCCCCGGGCCCTCCTCCAGCCGTATCACACACAGATGGGGCTGGGAGCCCAGCTGTAACCTCTGTGGCGCCACGGAAAATCTATTTCAATTTTTCAGGCTCTGAATGGGCAGCTCAGGGAATCAATAGCTCAATGGCTAGAGCCCAAGAGGAAATGAGAAAGCAAGGCAGGCTGGGGAGGCCCAGGACAGGGGACGGCGAGGAAGGAGAGCAGGAGTAGGCTCTAAACCCCATGTCACTCTGCTCACCGGGCCCCCGCAGAGACCTGGAAAGGGGTACATCATTCCAGAAACCAAAGCTTCTTGGGGCTGCAACAATGGGTCCCCAGAGCCCCCAGAGCCCCCCCATCAGAATCCAATCAGTATCCAGAAAGGCTGAGCTGCTGGCAACCCCACCTTTGAGCACCCTGGGGAGATGCATGTCTCTACCCCAATGGGGCCAGAAATCCTCCACCTAGGCAAGGTCCCTCCCCAGGGGACTTGAAGTCACAGAGAGCCTCTGCTGTCCCTATTCTCCCCCAGACACCAGACACCCACCACTGAGTCCGATTTCGTCAGGTGCTTCCTCCCAGGGAAGCCGGCCCTGACCACCACCACACTCATGCACGTCCATTACCCCGAGGGCTGGGTACCCAGACAAGAGGGGTCAGTGGGCTAACCTTGGAACCTTTCTGCTCAAACTCAAGAGCCCCCCGACTCCCAGCAGCATGGGCCTCCCCTGCCCCTCCCTGCATGCCAAGTCGGAGGGGGCCAGGTGCAAGAGTCCCAAAGCTCCGAGCACACTGTCTCCTGTTTCACCCCAGCCCCCAAAGGGGAAGCAGGACAAAAGCTACGAAGCCACAATACAGCTGAGAAAGGGCGAGGGGGTCCAAGGTCAACCAAGGCACTGGGTCCTTGGTAAAGCCTGTCCCCGCTGCCCGAGGCTATAGGGTCTGGGCTGCGACTCTGCCGGCAGGGCTGAGTGCCCACCCCCCACAGCCTTACCCTTGCCCTCCTTGGTCTTGGCCTTGCGCATAGGTACAGGCTGGGGTGCCTGCTGGGGGCTGACGGCCAGCGGAGGGGCGATGGTGACGGTCTCCACGGCCGCGGCCACCGCTGCTGCAGCTGCTGCTGCCGAGCTCCCCTTGAAAGGGTTGTTGGCGCTGAACTCCCGCCACTTGGCTCCCAGAACGGTCATCATTTTGGACATGGGGATCTTCGGGTTCTTCTTGGCAATGAGCGGCCTGTGTGGGGTGAAAGCACCGCCGTGGAGGGGATGAGACCCCCCCGAGGACCCAGGCACCCCCTTCTTCTCCCATGCTCCCATGTTCCCGGCTGGGAAAACTGAGCAGGAAGCGAGGCAGGGCGCAGGGGAGAGGACACAGCCTGAGACTCCAGTCCACACCCAAACACTCCTGATTCCCTATTTATGTGGTTGGCAATCTTCTAGTTGGGTTTCCAGACCCTGTACCACCTGAGGGACCAGGGGGAAGAGCCTCCCGTGGGCCACTGGGTGTCCGGCCCCATTTCTTCCAGAGCTGAGACAGGCCATGAGGGCTTAAGGCCCTGGGGATTGACCAGGACCACCATCCCGGGGCTCGGGGCAAGCAAGAGAAGGCGGGACCATCTGTTAAAAATGAAAGGGGTTCTGCCCAGGGTTGGCGTCAGCCTGATGGCCCCCCTGCACCCCAGGAGCCTGGGGCTCTGTCCCCCAGCTTGGCAGTTCCCATGGACGCTGGCCACGGTGGCTGGCAGTGTGGCCCACCTGAGGAACTGGCTGAAGGCCTTGTAGTTGGTCAGCGTGTGGTAGTCCGCCTCCGAGAACAGGTACTCCACGTCATCCAGGCCCCACTCGGCCATCAGCTGCCCCGAGGACTTGGGCTCCTAGGGACACCCAGGCCAGAGGTGGGGGTGAGCGCAGAGTCCCTCTGACATGAACCCCCACCCCCAGAGCCCCCACCCAGGAGGTCTCAGAATGGGTGGGGAGGCTGTGTCTGCAGTTCCTACCCACCCTCCGCTTCCCAGCCCGCCCCCCCTTCATCAGTGGGAATGGCTCAGGCACCAGCTCATGAGGGGGTGCAGGGCCAAGCCTGGGGGTTTAGTGTAGGGGCTCTGGGGGGGAGGCTCTGTGCACACCCAGGGCAGAAGCAGTAACAGAACTCATTCTCTGGGAGGAATGTGTTCTGGGAATTTGGGCACCAGGCCAGAAGAGCAGCCTGCAGGCCTAGCCAAAAGGGCAGCTGTCCCTGGGGAGGCAGCAGGGCTGAAGGGCTGCCTGAGGCATGCTGGGGAGAAATGAGGCTGCCTCCAGATGTCCCTGGTAGAGTCACGCATGGACCCCATGAAATGACAGGCTGATGCTCCCCTGCTTCCAGGGCCAGGGTGGGGGCATGGGACAAGGGCCCAGCTGAAGGCAGACACGTGAGGGGGTCCCTTGGCTACTGCTCGCTTTCCAGATGGGGCATTGAGGCCCGAGGAGGCGTGTGACTCCCCAAGGGCACACAGCGAGCTCTCCAGACAGCCTGGCCGGCTGAGGTGGGTGGGGGTGGGGGTGGGGGTGCGGCTACGAGCTTGGCCTCTAGAGCCAGACAGACCCTGGTTCTAATCCCAGCTCTACCCCGCACGGGCAGCGACAGTGGACAAGCTACTTCACCCCGCTATGTCTGTTTCCCCGTCTGTAGAACGGGATAACAGCACCTGCCTCCCAGGAGGGAACAAGTTAGCACAAGTGCTTGGAACAGGGCCGCTCCTGCCCGCGGTGGCCCTGGTTCCAGGCAGCCCTGCCCCAGCCCCACCCACTGACCCATTCAGCCAATCAGCACTCGCCACACCCAGGAGCAGTCATTGGCCCGGTGCCACTGGGTCTCCCATGTGGACAATGTGCGAGGACTCAGGCCTGCTTTCCCAGCTGCTGGAGGGCGCCGTGGGTGGCCAAGAAGCCCAGAGCTGCAGTGACACCCATTCTCAGCCACAAGGGTGCCTGGCCTGAGCCAGGAGCTGACCCCCCACAGGCAGGGTAAAGGATGTGAAGACACAGGCCCTAGGTGACACCCCAAGCTGGAAGCCCCCTGGCCTCTCAACTCCCGGGCCACCGATCCAGCAAACCCCATCACTGCTGAAGCCCCTTGGCGCTGGGCTGTCTGCCCCCACAACAGAAGACCACCTGGGAGGTGCACACAGCCTCCCTTGGTCCCGGGAACTGAGAACCAGGCCTGCCTGCCCAGCGCTCTCCGGACGCCCGTTCTCTGTGACTGGTCAGCGGGGCCCCCACTGTGGGACGCCCTCCCATGGCCCAACTGCCCCCACGACACGCAGCCATTCCTGGAGGCCCCTCGGACCTTGCTCCCAGCAGGAAGCAGAGCAATGTGAGCCTGAGGGGGTAACAGTGCCACGGGAGAACCCTGGATTGTGCCCACAAGTCCATCCTGCAAGCTGTCAGCCCTCAGCTATGATCAGTCACAGATGACTCACAACACACCTGCTGGCTAATGAAATCCCTCTGGGTGTCGGGACACCACGGTGCTTCCTGACTTCAGCCGCTGACGGCCACCATTTCTGCCTCACCCAGCAGGACCGATATTTACGGAGTCCTTATCTTTAAATCCACCGCTAGCGCAACCTGAGCTTGGGGGCCATGCCGACTCACTGACATCTGCCGCTGCCCAAGAGCTGGGCCCAGGGCCCGTCCCCTCCCCGAGGAGCCCTGCAGTGGCTCTGAGACCCCAGGGGCCTCGACCTGCTTCGCATCATGCCACACACGCACAGAGAAGCCGCTTTCCCCCAGGGAGAGCTGCAGGCCCCTCCACGTAGCTGCCCTGACTCTTGCTCATGGGACACCCTCTTGGATGCCCAAGCGGCCAGAAATTCAGAATACACGCGGAGTAACAAAGTTCCCCTTCTGCCAGAAGCAGAGTTGTCTGGCCGCTTCTTGCTGTCAGAGGTTCCATTTGCTGGTTTATTCTCCCAGAGTGCTCCAAGGGAGAGGCTCCTGACCCGAAACTTGAGCCAGAACACCACTCTCCTCAGACAGAGCTGTGCGCTCCAGGAGAGGAGCAGAAAATACATCAGCAAGAGGCCACTCCACATGCCCCCCAAACTCCTAAATGTCATCCATCGTTATTTCAAATGCGTCTCCAGGACTTGGGCACAGTGTTCCTCGCACACTTGCATCCACGCTCATGCCCACAGGCCCACCTGCCCCCAGCAGCCACACACACACACACACACACACACACACACACACACACACACACGGTGTGGGCGGGGGGAAGGATGCTCTGGCCTTTTGCTCGCAGGGGATCCCGGGTCAGAAAGCAGAGAACCGACTTGAAGCCTTGGCCCATCCAGGCCGGGCATCCTGCTGGAGCCCAGGCCCCTTCAGCCGGGCCTCAGGGTTTTACCTTTAGACACCCGTCGTCATTATCATCCTCGTCATCATCCTTCCTTTTTCGCTTGGCTTTTTTCTCCTTCTTGTCCTTGAGCTTTTTCTTCTTCTTTTTATTAGGGGAGTAGTCACTGCCCTCACTCTCCGACTTCTCTTCCAGATCCTCTTCATTTTCTGACAGCTCATCATTGCTCCCCTGGAAGAGAAAGGAGGATGGTCAGGGCAACAGGGGCCCAAAGAAAACCGAGTCCTGGGTGGCAGGACTGCCCTCCACGGCCCCCTGGCACAGACAGTCAGCCCATGCTTTCCGGATCATTCAGCGTTCGGCTGCTCACAGCCCATCACAAGCCCAGCCCGAGGGGCTGCCCCGAGCCAGCACTGGGCAAGGATCCCGTCCCTGATGGCTGGGCCCCCAGTTCGGTGCAGCCAGCCTAGAGAGCCCCGGGGTGAGGCTCAGGCTCTGCTTCAATCAGAATTAGGTTTCTAAGGACTTGAGGATTTTAACCAGTGTGACGGGAGAGCGCTGGGACCCGGGAATTTGTGCAGGACGTGATGTCTGGAGCCAAAAAACAAAGTGCAGGGTGGGCAAAGCGCCAGGGGTGTGAGCCAGCGCCCGACCTCTGTGCAGACCTGTGCACCCCATGGAGCCGCACCTGTCGAGCGAAACCTGTAATTACTGTAGACCGCATGTCCCAGTTTCATCTGTCTGTGGGCCCTCCAGAAGCTTCTACGGCCCGAGCCCACCTTCTCCACCACCCCCACCCCGCCACTTCATCTCGAGAGGAGACAAGGTAATTTAGGCAGCTCTTAAGCTTGGCTTCCTTGATTTAGTTTTCCGTCTGTACAGGCAGCAAATGGCCCATTTCTATGGAGATAAGGGCGTTCACAGCCAGATCATCCCCACCACAAATACACTGCCCCTCCAAGGAAGCTGTTTGTTTACTCTCCGCCTCTCCAGATGCAAGTGGACTGGCAGAGCCCTTCCCAGCCCCCTCCGGGCCTGGGTCTGCGGAGAGGCTGGGCACTGAGGCTCCAATTACCAGCACGGGGCTTGGCATTTTAGAGCTGGCTGTTGACTGTTTTCAAGGTGAGCTAAGAGAAGCACGGAAATGACAGAGAACTGGAGAGGTGGAAAATGAGCTTGGGAAACAGCACTGGGAGGTAGGGGGAAGAACGCTGAAGAGGACGTAGGGAAGGGGCAGGATGGGGGAGGGGAAAGAGGAGAGCAGGTGGGAGAAGGGAAGGGGGAAGCAAGGGCAGCGGGTCTGTCTGGAGGCTCTTGGGCCCCACCGGATCTCTGCCCTTTCCAGGCACACTGTAAAGAGTTGAGTGTCTTTCCCCAGGAGAGAGGCTCTTCCCAAGATACAGCTGGGAAAGGACTCCCCCACGGGCTCCCTGCACTTCCCGACTGTCTCCCACCGGGCTCTCTGCTCCCAAACCTTTTATGCTCATTAAGCCGCTGAGTCAGTGTGCTGGCTGGCCGTTGGCAGACAGCAGGGCCTCTGCGCCTTTCCGGAACTGGGTGTTTCCCGGAATACTGATTTGCTTTGCGGGGCCCCAGGGGCGAAGCTGGTCCTGGCTGCCGCTGGAACCTGCCTGGGGCAGGACAGCCTAGCGAGGGCTCCTGCTTCCAGGGCAGATGCCAATGCAGAGCCCTGGGGCCACAGCTCCCAGCTCTGCTACAGCCCTCTGGGGAGGCAGGGGTCAGACAGGGACATCTGTTTTCCCCACGGGTGTAGCGTTCGGCCAGTTTCAAGAGACCACCCTTGAAGAGACCTGAGAGGCAGGCTTTACCCCAGCCCTCACCCCAGCAAAGGTAAGGATGGGAGGAGTCTGCCATGAATTTCAGCACCTCGGACAGAGGCTGTAGGGCGGCCGGAGGGAGGGGCATGGGGCTGGCCCTCAAGCTGCCCCGGGGTGGACCCCACACACCAGACTGGGAATGAGGCAGGACGACCCATGCCCGATACCCACTTGGCTGAGACTCGAGTGGACTGGCTGTGGGTCCTGGGGCTCCCTAGGGAGTCTGCAGGACACAGAATGGCCTAGGAGCTCTGTCCCTTGCCAGCCTGGAACCAGGCAAGTCACTAGGGCCTGGCCTCAGCCTCCTCATCTGTGAAATGGGGGATTCAACAAAGGGTGGCAAGAGGCACAAAGGAGATGGTGTGAGAGGGGGCTGCATACATTCTGAAATGGGAGAGACCCAAGCACCCCTGACCCCAACTCTGCTTGGAAGACAAAGATGCAGGCCAGATGACAGACTTAAGGACCTCACCAGCCTCACCCTTCTCGTTTCTGCAAATCAGGACCAGGCTAAGTCAACAGCAGAGACCGTGCCCGCAGCTGGGTGTCACCTACAGTGCAGCTGGGCAACCTGCAGCTGACGGAAGAGGCTGTTGTGGCAACACCTGAGGGAGGACTGACCTGGGCATCTGATGGGAAGTAGGCATTGCCGTGTCCCAAGCGCAGGAAAGGTGAGAAGCAGCCGGCACAGCAATAGGGCCCAGAGGGAGCTGGAGGGAGGGACAGGAGGGCACCTCCAGCAGATTTCACTGTCTGTGTGTGTAACATGGACGCCAGGCCTGGAGAAAGGCCCCAAACTGAGCCTGCCAGAGGGCTGGACCAGTGTCCATTCCAGGGCTAATGGCAGAGCAGGGGGGCCAAGATCCTCCTCAAGCAATGAGTGAGAGCTACCACGGGGCACATCCACCACTCACTGTGCCCCAGTGGCCCCCTAGGAGATGGCAGTGGTGGCAGCCCCTCATTCTAGGGACAGGGGAGACTTCTCCCTCCACTGCCTGCCTGCATCAGGGAAAGCCTTGTCAGAAAGAAAGCTCTGAATCCCCATTTCTCCCAACTCACCACCTGTTCCTTGATCCTCTCCAGCAGAGCCTTCTCCACCCACCCCAGCAAATGCAGTTCACACTGCCCGGGCCCACCCCCTCCTGCAGCCCGATCTCATCGAAGCCCTCCTGGCTGCTTGGGGTGGGGTGGGGGTGCTGGCAGAGGGTGGGGGTGCAGGACTGGTCTTTGGAGATTGGTTTCCCACTGGCATCATAAGCCAGTATCCACAGCGTATCTCTGCATCCAGCTGTTTGGACCCTTCAAGACCCGGGCCTCCTTTTTTCTCTCCCCAAAATCTTTCCTTGCAGAGCAAGGGGCGAGGGGAAGGGCAGCAAGTGGTTGTAAAAACGACATGAAGAGGAGTGACCCAGGAGCAGGACCTGGAGGCATGCAGCACCAGCCAGTGGCGAGAAGGAAAGAATGACCGAGAACCAGGGGTAGATCAGCCGGTTCAGTATCTTGGAACTTATAGAAGGGGTTTGGGGCCAAGCCACGTTCAGGGAAGGAGACACAGACACAGAGCAACACCGTCCTAATAAAGCCCTGAACCAACCTCAGCCCCAAGCCACGCCACGGGCTGTGACCACGTCGGGGCTTTGACCTTGATGCTGTCCTTTGGGCTGTGGCCGCCCCAGGCGTGACTGCAGGGGAGGCATCTCGTGGTCAAAGAGTCTTAGTGGACTCCGAGTCCCTAACCGAATCCATCTGCTGCCTAAAACACCACGCCCAGGCTTCATGTGTGCGGAGCTGGGGGTAAGAGGAAGGGCTCTCTGCCCTGACCCCCAGCCCACTGAGGCCAGAGCATGCCACCAATGCAGGCCCCAGGGACCCCAAGTGGACAGTCCCTGCCCGCCCTTCCTCCTCCCCAGCTCTGCGGATGCCTTTTATCAGGGCCTCCCATCTCTCTCTCCCTTCCCTCTGCACCCAGCGCTCAACACACACAGCATCTCCCGATAAAGGAGGCATTTACACTCAAAAGGGAGGATTCAGAGAGTTGGTCATTCTCAATTTGGGGTCCTTCAAGATTGAGAGGGAAAAAGAAAGAATGAAATATGAGCCTTCCCATTCACGAGTGTTATAAACAGTTATAATTTAGCACTGAATAATTGGTTGCTATGGTAACCGCGCTGTACAGGTTGAAATCATTTCTCCCTCCTGCGCTGGGCCTGACAAGGAGCTTCATCTACATATGCTCAGGTTCTGGCCACAGCCCGGTTGTTTTATGTAAATCATGATCCGCGACTTGCTGCCTGTCCCCACCCCCACCCCCACCCCGCCAAAAAAAACCCCGCAGCCCCTCTTCTGCCTCCACCCACCGCCTTATCTTGGGGCCACCTGGTTGGAGATGATGGGGGGCACAGGGTGAAATCCCCCTCCCCATGACCTGGGAACCCAGGTAGGCGCAGACGGACGGGTGGGGGCAGGGGGCCAAGATGCTGCTCTCTGGCTACAGCCCGCTCCAAACCCTCTAAGATCTGACAGCTGGCCAAGCCAGGCTCTCAGGAGTACAGGGGAGGGGGCAGCAATGACCTAAGGGTCACCTTGGGGGCCTGCCAGGTGGCACCCGGTCATCTGCAAGCCTCCCATCCACCCGGCCCTCCATCCCTAGTGAGAAGCCGAAGGAAGGAGAGGGGGTGAGCAAGTGAGGGGAGGGAAGAAGGTGGAGGTTGGAAATGAGGCTGGAGGGGAAGGAGAAATGGAGAGGAGGAGGGGAGAGAGTGAGGGAGCTAGGGGTGGCTGAGGCAGAGGCCAAGCTCCGGCCAAAACAGCAGAGGGAGACACAGAGAGGGGCCCAGACAAACACACACATCGTCAGGTAGGTCCCCGGGCAAGAAGGGAGGGGTGAGACCTGAGTGAGCCTGGCACTGGGTAGAGGGGAGGCAAGCACCAGCCCTCCCAGGCTTTGGACACCACTGGCCCTCCCAGCCGTGAACCCATGCCCCCCCAGCCCCGGCCACACCACTCTACAGACACGGCCCACCTCTAGCCTCCTACCTGGCCAGGGCAGGGTGGGGAGGGGAGGGTCCTGCTGCACTGTGTGCCCAGGAAGGAGAGGGAGCATTCAGCCCTGCCTGGGGCACCCCTGGTGGTCCTTCATCTGCATCTGGGAACTGGGCGGACCCTGCCGGAAGGCCTGAGACCAAGGACTAGAGCGCACTGGGTGTCCCATCCAGGTCCAGTGCCCGTGAAAGCAGTTGCCAGAGAGAAACGCTTGGAGTGGGGGCTGTGCTGGGAGCTCCTGCCCTCGGCACAGGGTACAGCACGAGGCCCCAGGATCCTAGACTCCACGTCCCCCCACAATGTCCACAGAGCCTCAGGTCTTGGGAGGTGAGGACGACACGTCAAAGCCTCAACCAGAAGGTCTGTGTCTGCATCGCGGGCTTCTGCCTGCCCCAAACTATCTATGCTCTGTGGCATAAAGATAAACGACGCTGGAATGTCCCGCTTAAGAGGACAGGGCATTTCTGATCCGACGCACAAAGTCTGTACAGGCCGCTTTTGGAGTCTCGCACTCGAACCCGGCTCTCAGGACACCCCCCTGGGCAGCTGGGACCTTTCCCCGCAGGCCCAAGCAAAGCAGCCAAGACCCCTCGGGGCCCTGACCCCCCTCCCCCCACTGGCCCGACCCCAGCAGGGCCCCCCCCACGCACCTCTTTCTTCTTCCGCTTCCCTTTGGACCGGTTCTCCTTGAGCTTCTTGGATTTCTTCTTCTTGGGAAGGCCCACGGGCTCCTCAGGGAAATAGTCATCAAAGCCTCCGAGGCCCCCATCTTCTTCTTCTGGAGGAGGCAGAAGTGGGAGGGGATGACTCTGCCACTTCCCTCAGGGAGGCCCCCAGTGGGGCAGCCAGCCCCGCAGGCCTCCACCTGCCTCCTCCGCACCCCCTTCCCTGCACACAGGGCCCCGGCCTCCTCCCAAGCCCTCAGAGCCACCAGCCCAGACCCGGTGAGTGGAGTCCCAGCTCAGGCGGGCGGTGTCCCAGGCCCCCACTTCCCTGGGCCTTTCCTCCCCTTGCCGTAAAATGGGACAATAACCACCCACCCTGACAGGACGGTGCTCGGAAACAATGTTCTGAGCCAAAGTGAACAGCTAATGAAGAGTCCTCATGGACGTGGCTCCCCCGGAGAGGAAACAGCCGCACAGATTCACCAAGCCATCTCTGGAGGGCTCCAGGGAAGGGTCGGGGCCCATTTCTGCCCTCCGGAGGCCCAGAGCGTGGTGGGGAGATGGCTTGTGAACGCAGGCGGATGGGGACGCATGGGTCACATCACCCAGGACCACAAGGAGCCACACGGGGGGGGGGGGGGGTGCGGTTGGAGGGAGACCAACAAGGAGGACGCCAGACTCCCCCCTTACTGGGGATCAGAGACCACATGGCCTCTCCCGCCCGAACCGCACACACACCCACACGGTACAGTCACCCCCAGTCACACACGCAGGATGCCAAACCCATTCCGGCTGGGCACCCAGGAAGATGTGAAATTCCACAGAGATGCTGCATCCGCCACACGTGGGTTTCCAAAAGCGGCCACGAGTCCCGAGCTCCCCTCCCTCCTTCATGAATTTAAAAGGCCAAGACCAAAGGGGAGCGGGACAGGTGTGAGTGTGCAGCAGGACTATCTTGGAAGAAGCAACTGGCTTCGAGCTTCATGCCACCCCCCCCCAACAAGGAGCGGGCTCCCTGTGCCCGGGGGAGCAAAGAGAAGAGCCAACTGGGGTTCCACCCCTGCGGGGGCTGGGGGGACACATAACAGGGAATCTCCGCCTGAGCGGGTCTGCCACCCCGCAACCCTGAGGAGGGCGCCCAGGAGACTTTCATCGGGAAAGGGGGAAGGGCGTCCCTGCTGAATCAAGTTCAAAGAAACAGAGCTCCCACCCACCTGGCGCAGGAAGCCCACCACCACACACACCGCTGTTGCTGACCGTGTCAGCCGGACAACAGCTCAGTGCGGACATGCCCACCGCAGGTGCTCAGACACGCATGTGCACACACCAACATCCGGCCTCCTGTCCTCCACACAGGTCCCCCCCATGCCCTGCCTGGGGCCCCTGTCCCCTGGAGTCCCCAGGCTCATGTGGCTCCCATCGCCTCACTCTGGGTGCAGCTAGAGGGCGCTGGTGACCCGGTGGCCACACCCCAGAGCCCTACAGGGCCCGTTCCCATTCGTACCACCTCCCTACCAGGGGCACCACTGTCTGGGCACCCAGAGGCCCCGAGGCCCCCTAAAGGGGGGGGTGTTGTACAGCCCCCCAGGAGTCCGTGGGGTTAGGCAGCAGGGCATGCCCAAGTCCCAGTCCCCTCCCCATCCTGCTGGGCAAACACAGGTATGGAAAGGGACTCCCGGCAGGACCGGGAGCTGCTGCAGAGGTGGCCAGCTCAGTGGTCCTGGCTGGCACGGGGGCACAGCTGCCAGGCCTTGGCCCGGGCTATGGCACACAGGGCCGAGCGGCGGGGCGGGGGCAGCCCAAAGCTGAGTTTAATGCAGGCCAGGTCTTGAGCGGAGCCAGGCTGAGCTAACCCTGTCCTGTCCTGTTCCTCTTCGCCCTCGCACGGGAGGGGCAGGGATTTTTCAGACCAGTTGAAAACATGCACGGGGACCCCCAGAGTCATCCTGGAGTGGCGGGGCCCGGAGGTGGTGACGGAGCTGTCCGTCCACACCTGCCAACCCCCACCCCTGCCTCCACCTCCCCCAGAGCCACAGGGAGACTGCTTGGGCAGAGCCACCCCTGCACCCTGGCAATGCCCAGCTCCGATTATATAAGAGGCTCGGGCTGCTGCAATCGGGAGGGGCCCTCTCCCTCCTGCCACCTCCCCGAATCCCCTGTCCCCCCAGCGGGGCAGTCCCCCAGATTGGGAAGGCCAGCTGAGCACATGGTCAACGACACACCGACTGGCCACACAGCACACAAGGGGATGGACAGGTGGCTACGGGAGGTTATCTGCCTGGAGCAGAGGGCAGGGGGTCAGGGGATGCCCCACACTCTAGCCCTAATCCACGCCCAGAACGAGCCTCAGAGGATAAAGCCCCAGACCCTCTGCCCATGGACAGAGCCCCCCCTCCATTCCCAGAAGACCTCATGGCCTTCTCTGGGGCTGAGCATATGGTGGACGAGCCCTCACCCTCTGAGGGACCCTGTGGGACTTTCCAGACCAAGGGCCGGCCTGGGTCACCTTGGTGTCCCAGGGTGAGGCCCGAGCTCAGCACACAGGCCGTGCGTGCTATTTAAGTGCCTGCTAGGTAAATGTGGGGGGAGGCCTGAATTCTGTCGGGGACCTCGGGCGCCTGGAGAAGGGCAGGGGTGAGCACCTGCCCACTCCCCATCTCTGACAGACCCTTCTTGTCCCTGCACGGATCCTGGGAGCCCTGAGGACACCCCAGGGCTGAGCTCTGCGACACCACACCCTCCCGGCACCTCCTGATTCCCCCGCACCCCTGTCTTCACCCTGGCCCCGTCTCCCCCTCCTGCCTCTTCTGCAACAGCCTCTGAGTTTCTAAAACCAGACCTGGAGAGTCACAGCCAAGCAACCCTGCCCAGGGCCCCTCAGCAGCTCCCAGAGCCCCCAGCCCTGTGCCCCCTCCTCAGGGCATACAGTCAGGGGTAAGGTGGGATCCCACTCGCCCTGGGGTGAGGGTCCCAGGAAAGAGCAGCCCCAGGACTCCCTGCCCCGCCAGCTCCCAGACCCTCCTGGCCGTCCCCACAGCCCCCTGGCCCACCTGGCAGTGCCCTCCCGCACCAGCCCTGCCCCTCCAGGGCCCGAGACTCCATCGATCCAACTTGGGCTATAATTAGGACCCATTAGCCTTGTTATCTCCGCTACCTCCTGAGCTTCCAGGCCGGGGGGAGGGGGCGGGGGGAGCTGCTTCAGAGACAAGAGACAGGCAGGGGGACAGAAGGGTGGAGACAGAGGGGCAAAGAGAGATACCTCTGCTGCTTCTTCCTGAGCTCACCCACAGCCCTCTCCCCGGCTCCCTGAACAGGCCCCAGCTCTGCCCTGGGGGACCCCCAGGCTGGCCTCACTGTGCCATTGAAAGCTGCAGCCCCAGGGAGCTGGGCAGGTCTCTCTCAGGGTAGCGCGTTGTTCACAGCGCAAGTACCCACGCGTCACCTGTGCCGCGCTCAGAGCGGATGTTAATTTGTATCAGTTCATTGACTCCACTCGGGAGCCCTGAGAGGTGGTACCATCACCCCCATTTGCGGCGAAGGAAGCAGGCTCAGAGGGCTCCTGACTTACCCACGTAGCTTCACAGCCAGCAGGTGGCAGAGCCAGGGTGGGGCCCGGACAGGTGGTTCTCACCCCTGCCCTTCTCCAGGCACCCGAGGTCCCCCCCAGAATTCAGACCTCCCCCCACATTTACCTAGCAGGCACTTAAACAGCACGCACGGCCTGTGTGCTGAGCTCGGGCCTCACCCTGGGACACCAAGGTGACCCAGGCCGGCCCTTGGTCTGGAAAGTCCCACAGGGTCCCTCAGAGGGTGAGGGCTCGTCCACCATATGCTCAGCCCCAGAGCAGGTTCTGCTCTGCCTAGCTCCTGCCCCCTCCTCTGGGCAAGAACAGAGCCCCCCAGGGAGCTTTGCGGACGCAAGGTGATCAGAGCGAAAGGAAAGCATGTGATTGTGGAGGGAGAAGTTAGGTCCTCTGGTCTGAGGGTGGTCGAAGGACCTGGGGGCCCAAGCCAGGTGCAGGGACAAGAGTCCTACTGCCAGGGTCCAGAAAGGCAGGCCAATCTGCCCACAATGGGGACCCAGCCCAACATCTACCATCCTCTCTGGGACTTGGAGAGGAGGCTCCTTCTGTTCTCCACCTCCAACCCACCACCTAGCAGGGGACAAGATCACCTGGTGGCCAGGAGGAGGGAGGGACAGGGGAGTGCAGACCTCAAACCACCACCCTTTCCTGGCAAGTTGCCCCCAATCCCTTGCCAGATGAGCCTATTTCTTCATCCTTAAATGGGCCTAGCAATGCCTTTCTGACAGGGTGATGGAGAATTAGAAGTCGTGAGATGCACAGTAAGTGCTTGGTGATGGCAGGTAGAGCCCAGGGCCCCAAAGGGTGGCAAAGGGCGGGGGTCTCCAGTTTGTACACTGCTGAGCCTAGGGGTCTCAAGGCCTCTCTAGGGCTGGCCAAAGGGGGGCACCAAGATGAAGGTTCCCATCAGTCCTTGGAACACCCCTACACCACAGGCCTTCTGCTGATAATGGGGGGTCAGTACTCCCGCCCAAGAGAGGATTAGTAATTTATTTATGACATTAACAAAACCCAGACATCACCTCATTGGCGTCTCATCAAAGAAAGCATGGTTCTGAGCACTCTGGGCAGGCAGGTGGGAGGCGGGGGGAGAGAGAGTGAGGCTTTTACCCTAAGGGACTGAGGCCAGGGAGAGAGTGAGGATGAGGAGGACAGGGACCTAGGGCAAGCAGGGACAGGCCCCCCTGCAAACCCAAAGCATGGGTGGGGAGGAGGAAAGAGAAGCAAGGAGGGAGGGGATGGGGAGACACAGCTGAGGGTCAGGGAGAGACAGAGGAAAAAGAGGGAAAGCAAGGGACTGCCAAAGAGAGAGAGAAGCAGAGCCAAGCGCTCAGGGAAGACAGACTTGGAAAGAGACAGACGGAGGGACAGACATGGGGGCAGAGTGAGAAAAAGAGACAGGGAGAGAGAAATAAGGACAGAGCCAAAGAGAAGGGAGAAAGCCTCAAAAGTTTTACCTGCAAAATCCCCAGTAAGTTAGAGACCACATACGGTATTCTGTACCTGGTTTGGAGAAGATACTCAACAGATCTATGTTGGGAGGTGGGTGGATGGAAGGAAGGAAGGAAGATGGAGAGTGGGTAGGATGGCTGGCTGGTGAGTGGTGGGTGTATGGTTGGTTGGTTGGTTGGTTTTATGGTTGCATGAAGAGCTGTTAGGTGGGAGGGTAGATACATGGGTGAGTGGATTCATAGGAGGCTTGGTGACTGAATGAACTGATGAAATGATAGATCAGTCTGGAATGAAGTGACCATCCCACAGGCCAAGGCACTGGGCAAAGCATGCTGGTGACTCTGCCTCCCTCTTCCCAGCAAACAGTATTAAATACAGGCTCCCTGGGAACCCCAAAACCCACGTTTCCCCACGGGGTGGGGTTAGCTAAGAAGGCGTGAACCTTGAGAATCACGGCTATCACTCCCTCCTGGCCCCTGGGCCAGGAAACCTAAAATGCTCACATGACTGGGGCCAGTCCTCTGGGCAGGGGGGACATGGGCCAGTCAAATGACTCTGGGGTCAGAGTGGTCACACTGCCGGGCCAGGTGAGAGGCCGGGCTCACCAGCTCTGGGAAGCCCAGCCCTCTGGCTGTAAGTGATGGCCTGGGGACAACCAGTCCGGGAAGTTTAAGGAAAAGGCCGGGGGCGCACTGAGCCCCTCCTTCTCTTCCTCCAGCCCCAGCACGGGGGTCACACTCCCAGCCCTCCTCCAGCCCAGGCTCCCAGGCCCCCCAGCTTACTAGATGAGGGTGCAAGTCTCAGAAGCATTTCCTTGGGAAAGGCAGGTCAACTGCCCCCGTTGGATGGTGCCAATTATGGCACTCACAGTTTATTGGGCACCTATTATGTGCTGGGCACTGTGACCTAAATGTTCCACGGGCACTGTCTCACTAGTCCTCACAATAACCCTCTGTGAGGTAGCGGATGCTATATCCCCATTCCACCAGTGGGGACACTGAGGCAGAGGGCCTGGGGAGCGTGCCCAGGGCCAGTCAGCTAACAAGCGGCAGAGCCAGGATCCATCCGAGCCTGGAGCCCTCACGTTGACCAGCCCCCCCCACACACACACTCCCAGTGGGATTTGGCAGTTGCCAGGCCCCGAGCCGGGGAGGCAGGAGCCCACCCTGCCTCCTCCAAGCAGGCTCGCCCACCTGCCTCAGTGCCGAGTGCTGGCCACACCGAGCCCGGTGTGGGGAAGAAGAACACTGCTGGGGGGA